TTCCATCATGACAATTTCAGAAAATAAGTTACTTAACTTCAAATTTTAAATCACAGCATATTCATTGTTATTTTGAAAGAAACACTGAATAAATCAAGGGCGATGTAAAACTACTAAAGTAAAAATCCTACCAACCATACAAAAACAAAACGATTGCTTTGGTCAATGGCTTTAGATCCATTGGGATCTGTCATTGTTAATACACTCTGTGGTGGAAGAAATTCCGTTAATTAGCATTTGCAGGATAATTGCAATTGTTTTTAATTGAGAAGAATAAAGATGGAAATGAGATATTAAGATTATAGTCAGTCAGTTGATGCATTGTATCCAATAAAGTTTGGTTAAAATTGAATAATCAATTATCGTTTTCTGTTCATTTGAAAAACCTTGCTAATTTTGCACTATTTTCTGAGAAAAAAGCTTATTCCAATTGTGATAAGCTTACATGCAAGTATGAATTATCTGATCATGCTATATTTTAGTTTTGTTATTTATCAAAGCTTGCTGTTTTATTTATCACTTCCGAGGAATTCATAGCGTAATCATAATTGATCAATTTCCATGCAATATCTATTCTTAAAATTGATTACATCTATTAAAATGCTTTCTGTTTCATGGCTGGCCCAGTACAAGGTGACCAATATTATAAGACATAGCATTAGTCGCGGAGATCGAGTAATGGAGCTATGATATTAATCTATGGAGCTACAGAGTGACAAAAGTATAAGACCACTTGATTTTTGGCTATTTAACTGATTTTTCGGGTTATTTTCGGTCTTTTTTCAATTGGATTAGTTTAATCTTCATGAGAAACACTCTCCGAATCGATTTAAGCTAATTTTGCATAGATTAAGGATTTAAAAGTATTAAAATAATGCATCTCATATGGCTAACACAGGGACAAAATTATAAGACCAGATGGAATTAATTAAGACAATTGGCTAAATTAGCAATATAAAGTGAACTTAGACAGTTTTTCTGGGTCATTTTCACTCGTTCTTTCCATTGCAATAGTTAGTTTTCTGATTTTCTTTGTGTTTTTTGTTTTATACAAGTTTTGATCCAAATTACATAATGCCTAAAGGTACATCTCTAAATGACTACGAAAAGGGCCAAATTGATGCTCTAATGCAACAAGGTAACTCCTTGAACCAAATTGCAAAGCTAATCAACAGATCTGCAACGGTTGTGAAAAGTTATGCAAAGTTAGGAGAAAATTATGGTACCTCACCTCGATCTGGTCGCCCCCCTGCTCTTAATGATCGTGATGTAAGAAGAGTTTTGCGAATGTCTTCGATCGAGAATACAACATGTGCAAAGATTGCAACTGAATTACAACTTCCAGTGTCCCCAAGAACAATCAATCGAACCTTAAAAGCTACTGGATTTTATGAATACACTTCGATGGATGTGAAACCCAAATTAACAGAGGAACATCAAAGGAAACGAATGGAATTTGCAAAAGAGCATATGACATGGAAAAACGAATGGATTTCTGTGATATTTTCTGATGAAAAAAAGTTTAATTTGGATGGCCCTGATGGTTTGAAATGTTATTGGCATGACTTACGCAAGGATAAAAAAGTTTTTTCTAAACGAAATTTTGGAGGTGGATCTCTTATGGTGTGGGGTGCATTTAGCTACAACGGAGTATTACCAATTGTCAAAATTTCAACTTCAATGAATTCTAATGATTACATCAAAGTTCTTGAAGAAAATTTACTTCCAAATGCTGAGTTCAACGCAGGTAGGGATTGGATTTTTCAGCAAGATAACGCTAGAATTCATGTCTCTAATGCTTCCAAAGATTTTTTTAATAGAAATTCAGTTAAGCTATTGGGTTGGCCAGCATGTAGTCCAGATCTCAACCCAATTGAAAATCTATGGGGCTTAATTGCAAGAAAGGTTTATGCCAATCAACGGCAGTTTAATAAAATTGAGGATCTATGGCAAGAAGTTCAAAATATCTGGTATTCTATTGAGCCTGAATATTTCCAATCCCTTGTTGACTCAATGAGCAATCGAATTTTTGAAGTTATTAGATTAAATGGAGCTCAAACTAAATATTAAACATTAATAAACCAAGTGGTCTTATAATTTTGTCACCGCCAAATTTTTTGTTTCTTATGTAACTTTTTTTCTAATGCTTTTTTATATTTTATTTTTTGCTTGATGAAAAGGTCATAAGAAATTGATAATTTAAGGTTATTTTGGTATCACTATCGCTTTTCATTTAATAATTATTTAAAAAAATCTAGTGGTCTTAAACTTTTGTCACTTACTGTATATTAGCCTCAAATGTCAAATCAAAAGTTTGTTTGTAAGCCTTTGAGTTCTTCGATAATCTACTTATATTTATTGAGTTTGAGCCACTCGACTGGGATTCGTAACCGATTCTCGCCGTTTGCCGATTCAAGCTTAAGAATTTTCGATATTAATGGTTATTTTCATAAATTTTTGTGCAACTCATCCTCAAAGGTTTTCTATTGGATTAAGGTCAAAATCTGGACACTTCATAACAGTAACATCGTTCGCACACACTAACCTGAGAATGTATAAGCCGAATGTGATCAAAAAATGAGAGCTTGTGCATGGTTTTATCCATAAAAATAGACAATACATTTGCTGATTCTAACTACTAACCTGAATTTCAACGAAATCCAAGATGCTGGTAACGATAAAATAGTATCTAATCTGTTCATTTAGAGGTTTTTCAATTTTTTTATTTCATTTAACCAAGTAATTAGATACAATATTTTCAGTTTCCTAATATTTTGTTTAATTTCATCAATTATAAAACGAATCAACTGTTTATCATAAGTCTAATATTTTTAACTTCTATTAATTTTTTTTCTGTGTAAGGTGTCTCTACTTTGCATACAATATTATTGAAAAGTATAAAAGACTATTTAATAAACCGTTAATTCATTTGCAAATGTTCAGCAACAGCAATTGGAAACAAATAGTTGCAATTATCTGTGTTTCTATTTATTTCTCAATTGAATCTCCATTACAATGTTATTCAAAGTTTTAATTGTTTTTACATTGTACTCAACAATATCAACACGTAAGAATTGAAATTAAAATTTAATCGTCTTAACCTAATATTTATTTCATAATTAACACAGTCAGTAATTTGGTGGACTTGCCATTGAAAGTGCCTAAAGGAAGTTCAGTGATTAATGCTACTTTAACTTATCATGGATATACCGTAAGTTGAATGATTAACTAGTTGTTGATCAATCTAACTTTTAATTTCATCTCTTAGAATGAATTTAAGAAGTATTATTTACAAGAGTTGATATCAGCTTTTGGTCCAACCACTAAAGGTAAAATTTTCATCTCAAGTGATACGGATTCCTACACAATACATTATAATGCTGATTCTTATACTGGTGTGGACGGTAGGGAACGATTGGTTATTCAAGGTAAGAATGTTAAAGTTTTTTTTTTGATTTCCCTGATCGATGGAATGCAAAAGAAAGTGTAAACAGATTCTTGCGATTGGTTTCTCAATAATTGATACCGATGAAATGAACATCTTTTTTCTCGAGTCTATTGTTCCAGTTGAGTCAATTTTTTGATTATAACTACTTTTAATTCCCTATCCAAAGGTACAAATTGTGAACTGTTCACTTACACTTACAGCAGTTGGGATAAATATTTATCTGGCGTTAAGAAACCCATACTCAACATAATTCTCTTGATAGGACCTTCGATATTATACAGACTTGATCATTCGTCGTTTGTTTGGGTAACTATTCTGTTTGCTTTATTTTTTCAAATATATTTATCAATTCTATTTTTTGTTTATAGAAATCGGTTGCAGATAAAAACATCAGAGGAATCATGATGAAAGGGGCATCAACAGAAGTTAATGAAAATTTGAAAATTACTTTCTACTACAAAAGTAATTCGATACGAAATAATTAAACGATTAATTGATTATAATGAGAAGAATTTCACTCTTTTTTAAAACTCAGGTCATCTCGATTACCAATCTGGAATGGAAAGTCCCAGCAGAATTGAATTCAGTGGTTATGAAAGAGCTTCAATTCCAGAGTCAGAAGAGAATCTCATTCTATATATAGATATCTATTCTATTCAACATGTAAATATTTTCCTTGAAGACTTAGATCAAGTCCAGAATGAGGTTCAAGTAAGTATCGGTTGAATAGAAATATTATTTCTTAAACGAAATATTTCCTTCTTTTAAATACACTTTTCTAAACGAAAACTTGATGCATTCATTGTTTATCTCTTGACTAGCCTCCAACTGGAATCGGATGTCCACATTACTTATCTGGAAGCAAAGAATTGCCAGAGTTAAGTGTTAATCACTTGCACTACATCATGGAGGAACGAATCAAAGGTTCAACTGCGTCTCGATCACTTAGTGAGGTTAGTTCACCTGACCCAAAATTGGTATTAAAAAAATTATTGGGAAAATTCATTGCACTACTAATATTTATGAATTGCGACGATTTTATTGTATTTATTAGGGTTTTGAGTACAAACACAAATTTCTAATGATCCTTTATTTCGAAGCTAAATTCTGTGAATGCTGGATTCCCAATACTTTTGCACTGCGTTTTATTTTTATTTGTCATTCGTTATTCAATTCATTTTTGTTGTTAGATTTATGCTGCATATCATTACGATTTTTCGAGGATAAAAACATTGGTTGGTTCAGTAAGCGAAGTTATTTACGACTATCGACTCGGAGTTTCTTTTCATATTTCAAAGGATGGATCCGTTACTGTGACATCCATCGACTCGAGTACGCCTGGAATCGAATCTCATGGAGAATTCACTTTGACTACTCTTTTCATGCTCGATGGTAGCTTTAAATATCTTGGGAAGCGCAACTTGGTAAGTAAATGACGAAAAATTGATTGAATTCGAGTTTGTTTTGTATGATAAATAACCATAATTGAATTAGCACGGAAATTCAAAAGTTGCATCAAGTTGCACCATTTTTAGGGTATTCTCTTTTCGATAGACTCTGAGAGGCATGAATTTATCTGATATTGCTCGCCAGTCAATGAATCTTTTGGGTTCATTCGTCAGAAGTTTATAAGAACCAAACAAATGTATTATTTTATAACATCAAACTTTACAACTTGAATAGCAATAATAGAAAATGAACTTGAAATAAAATACTTGAATTTTTACTGAAATCTTTTAGAAGCATCGCTCTGGACTCTCTGTTGAAGCATGGGAATCAGTTCTACTCAATGCCAATATCAACGGAAAGAAGGTGGATAAAGCTGTTATTACTCAATATTTTGCTCCATCGGTAAGTTATTTCAATTGAACAGCCAAATTTGTTATCGAAATTAAAGAGGGATTTGTCCCGACAAGAGTCAGTTTTATGCTTTTCAATGACAAATTCATTACTTATTCTAATTTCTATTTGAATTTCCATCTAAATGGCGGTTTTAAGGAAAACAATGACATATTTTATGGCTATACTCTTGTCAGTACCAAAGTGTCCATCTATGATCATGATCAATCGGTAAATATTAATTTCGATTTTCATTATTCTCAGAATATTAAAATTAAACTTTATACCTTGTCTTTGAATAGAAAAAAGTTTACACTTGGAAGGATGGTATCACAAGAGATTACATGAACTTTCAAGAGGTTCGATCCATCGAGAGTATTCGTTCATTGACAGAAAAAGTCAATTACGCTTCTAGCGATGAAAAAGTGATCCTTAACTTCATATTAGAGTGTGATGGTATGTATTGATAAGCAATTTTAAAGTTATCAACTTTTGCCATGGAAATTTGGCAGAGATTCAATTGTAAATTCAAAATTTTCGTACTTTTCATTAAACTTTCGACTTGCTGCATTGAAGTTTAACGAAAACAACATTCGAAGACAGCATAAACTTCAACACAGGTAGTTGAAAGTTTATGTTGTCTCGAATGTTATCAATAGTTATTTCAGATCGTATATTACATTGTATTATATTAGCTTATAATTTCAGATAAATATGTCAAATGCAGACTTATTCAGTATGCAACTATTAATTGTGAAAAGCTTTACAATTAACGATTGCATGAGATGAAACAAGTAATAATAATGTTGAAATAATACTAATCATAGCGTATTTGCTTTTCTAGCTTCTGATCACAATGCTTGCATCAAACACATAGAGGATAATGTTTACTGGTTGAAAGGAGAGTTCCTTTATTTTGTCCTTTTAGTTCAACCAGTCAGTATACTGCGAATAGGCGATATTCGATATCGCTTCACCGATACAAAAGTCGAAATGGAAGTGACATTTCTCGATCTACCACATTTGGAATGTAAGTTAACTGCTAAATTTTGACCTCGCTTGAGTGCGATTGAGCTCAGTAGTTAAACTTTCTTTTCCTTTCCAGTCATTTTCAACTCTGTCTCCATGTCGCTGAGTCAAGAGACATTCACCAAGATGATGACGATTATCGCTAATAATGAACCCGATTGCCTAGAAAAATTATCACAGTATCAGCTGACAATCAAGTATATATTCATTTTTGGCTACATGAACATTTCTATGTAACTTATAAATAACAACTGTTTTCCTCTTCACTCATCTC